CAGGCTTTACATATAGTTTATAGTGTAATCTAACATCATGCATCCCCGTAAAAATCCAATAAAAATACAATGATTTTCATTGTCATTGCAACCATGGTGTTTATTGTCAAAACATTGGACATTTTTGTCGATTACCATAAAATCACAACGAAATTCATGGTTCTTACTTACTTACTTACTTAAGGGTCCTGTGCACCACCAGCGGTGCAAAGAGCCTACGTGAAAGACTTCCATCCTGGGCGGCTGCTCGCTTTTGCCTTGACCTGGGCCCAGGTCAGATTTCTATCGACTTGCTTAATTTCCTTATTGAGGCTCCGCCGCCATGAGCCCCTGGGTCTGCCTCTGCTGCGATGTCCTGCTGGATTCCAATCCAGCGCTTGCTTGCAGATTTCGTTTCCGCCCCGTCGAAGTGTGTGGTCGACCCACCTCCACTTTCGCTTTCGAATTTCTGTTGCTATCGGCTTCTGATGACATCGACGATGGAGCTCGGCATTCGAGATCCAGTTGTGAGGCCACCAGGCACGAATTATATACCGCAGGCATCGGTTGATGAAGACCTGCAGCTTTTGAGTGTTCTCCGTTGATACACACCACGTCTCGCTGGCGTATAACAACACAGATTTCACGTTCGAGTTGAAAATTCGGATTTTGGTGCGTTGACTTATCTGGTTGGATCTCCATACGTTTCGTAAACTCGCAAAGGCAGCCCTAGCCTTCTTGATTCGTGCACCTATGTCGCTCTTGGTCCCGCCGTCCGACGCTATTTGGCTGCCAAGATATTGGAAACTTTCGACCTTCTCCACTGCTTGCCCCGCTACCGTAAAGTTGGAAGGGTTGCCCGTGTTGATATCCAACGATTTGGTCTTGTTGACGTTGATGGTGAGACCCGCCGCAGAGGAGCGTTCGGCTAGGTCATTGAGCTTACTCTGCATATCAGAGCGCCGTTGTGCTAGTAGAGCAACATCATCAGCCAAATCGAAGTCGTTGAGATGCTCCATGGTGATAGGCTGCCAAAGCAGCCCACGGTTCGGTACACGGTCAATTGCACCTACCATGATCTCGTCGATTACGATGAGAAACAGTAGCGGTGATAGTATACATCCTTGTCTCACACCAGCGACTACCCGGATAGGGTCGGACAAGGCTCCGTTATGCAGAACTCTGCACGTGAAAGCCTCATACTGCGCTTCGATGAGATTGACGATTTTATCCGGGACTCCCTTGCGTCTCAGGGCGCCCCACAGATTCTCGTGATTGAGACGGTCGAAAGCTTTTTCGTAGTCAATGAATACCAAATAAAGGGACTCTTGGAATTCATTGACCTGCTCCAGGATGATGCGGAGCGTGACAATATGGTCCACACAAGATCTTCCGGCACGGAATCCTGCCTGCTGCCGTCGGAGAGTCGCGTCGATCTTCTCCTGTATCCGATTCAGGATAACTTTGCACAGAACTTTGAGAACAATACACAGTAACATGATGCCTCGCCAATTGTCGCACACAGTCAGATCCCCCTTCTTTGGGACCTTCACTAAGATGCCCTGCATCCAGTCGGCCGGAAAAGTCGCGGTGCCCCAGATATTACAGAATAGTTGATGCAACATTTGTGCGGATAGCATGGGGTCAGCTTTGAGCATCTCTGCTGATATGCGATCGACCCCTGGAGCCTTATTGGATTTCATGCTTCGGATAGCTGCTTCAATCTCCTGCAGTGATGGGGCCTCGGAATTGACGCGAATGATGCGCCGCACCCTAGGCGGATCATGCCGAAATGTTGATGGCTGGTTGGCCGTCGAAACTTGAAGAAGTTGTTCGAAGTGCTCAAACCAGCGTTTCAGCTGGTCAGTGGGGTCGGTAAGCAATTGTCCAGTCGTGTCCTTCACTGGCATCCTCGGGTTCATCCTTGCTCCACTCAGACGTCGTGAGATATCGTAGAGGAGGCGTATATCGCCAGTGCTTGCGGCTTTCTGTCCTTCGTCGGCCAGGGAGTTCACCCACGCTCGCTTGTCCCGTCTGCAAGAGCGCTTGACTTCCTTCTCTAGAGCCGAGTACCGTTGACGGGCTTCGTTCTTGGCTCCTCTGGTTCTCGCCCGCTCTATCGCGGCTTTTGCTTCTCTACGCTCCTCAATCTTCCGCCAGGTTTCATCTGTGATCCACTCTTTCCTCTGGGTGCGTAGCTCACCCAAGTTGTTCTCGCTTGTTTCTATAAGGGCATTATTGATGGCCGTCCATTGTTCTTCTACGCTGCCACCTTCTGGAACGTCCGCAGCTCGAGTCTCAAGTTCATGAACAAAAGACCTTTTTACAGCTGGATCTTCAAGTTGGCGTGTGTTGAACCGCCGCCCGAGTCTCTCTTCCCGTCGCTGAATCCGCGCCATGCGTAGGCGGATTTCACCGATTAGAAGGTGATGGTCAGACGCGATGTCGGCGCTGCGTTTATTCCGGACATCAAGAAGGCTCCGTCTCCATTTTCGGCTGATGCAGATGTGGTCGATCTGATTCTCGGTATGTCCATCACGGGAAACCCACGTGACTTTGTGCACTGGCCGATGGGGGAAGAGCGAGCCCCCGATCACCATGTCGTTATTGCCACAAAATTCTGCAAACAGCGTCCGATGACACGCTCATAGTCCGTGTTGTCGGAGCCGATCTTCGCATTGAAGTCACCAGTGTAGATCTTGATGTCACTCTTTGGAACCTTATCCACGACGGCATTCAGTTGACTGTAAAAATTCTCCTTGTCCTGTAGCTCGGCAGCATCGGTTGGCGCATAACATTGGATTATGGTAAGGTTACGAACCCGTGTTCTAAATCTGGCAACGATTATCCTCTCATTAACAGGCTCCCACTTGATGAGCGCAGCACTTGCCTGGACGCTAAGTAGGAGACCAACTCAACGATGGCGGGGAGCGTTTTCACCTCGAATACCAGAGTATAGTCAACAACCAATACGGAACTAACGATTTTAAATTGGCTCACCACTTTAGTAGCCTATTGGTCCCAAGCAAACGATTAACGTACCCTATTCTAGTTGAAATTCTATTACTACACTATGTTTGTTTTGATTCGCTATGGAAGTTTGACAGATAACATCAGGGGTGTGTGGATTCATGCAGAACATGCAGGGGTGAGTGAAATAGCTTGGGACTGCTTGGGGCCGTTGTTCTGATACTGAGTGAGCCAAAAATAATAATGATTTTCTTCGGGACCCAGTGGTCATAGAGTTACCTCTATGGTAATACCAGGGGGTGGAAACTAACGATTTTAAATTGATTCACTGCTTGAGTAGCCTATTGGTCCCAAGTACTTCTATGGTGTACCCCATTCTAGTTGAAATTCTATTACTACACTTTGTTTGTTTTGATTCGCTATGAAAGTTTGACAGATAACATCAGGGGTGTGTGGATTCATGCAGAACATGCAGGGGTGAGTGAAATAGCTTGGGACTGCTTGGGACCGTTGTTCTGGTACTGAGTGAGCCAAAAATAATAATGATTTTCTTCGGGACTCAGTGGTCTTAGAGTTACCTCTATGGTAATACCATAGAGGTAACTCTAAGACCACTGGGTCCCGAAGAAAATCATTATTATTTTTGGCTCACTCAGTACCAGAACAACGGTCCCAAGCAGTCCCAAGCTATTTCACTCACTCCTGCATGTTCTGCATGAATCCACACACCCCTGATGTTATCTGTCAAACTTTCATAGCGAATCAAAACAAACATAGTGTAGTAATAGAATTTCAACTAGAATAGGGTACGTTAATCGTTTGCTTGGGACCAATAGGCTACTAAAGTGGTGAGCCAATTTAAAATCGTTAGTTTCGTATTGATTGTTGGTAATACGTTCTACTGTTCACTTATCGGATTTCAAGTAAATTAACTAAATAATTACGTAAAATATCTGAGAATTTAGATTCGTAATGAATAATAACAGGTGAGTGCAGATCAGGGCGCAACCTTAGTCGCGATCCTCAGATTGTTGTAGAATAAGCGATAGCTCTGGATGCACATAATGTCCAAGTTTATGCCAGGGGATGGATATGGCTGTCATATCGCTTAAGTTTGCTGCGTACCGAACATCTGCAACGTTGTCAGCGGTACCATGATATGTTTTGTTGTTTTGATGTTGAGTACGTGTATTCAGCAATATGTCAAACCCCTGGTTTATGCCCCATTCCTGGGTGTCGTACAACGTAATATTACACTACCGGTGGAATGATCTCTGTGCAGCTGTTTAGATGTAATATCCAACAACTTTTTTTACTGTGCAGGTCAATCCATCGGTTGTGTAATATCACATGGTACGATGTACATTGATTTTGTGAACAAAATTACATCCATTGATGTAATATTGTATCTGCGTTTTGCTATTACATCATTATTTCATACATCAGCTTGAATTACGTTGATCGATAATACATTTTTTTTTTGCTGTGTATTAGCATAGAGGTAACTCTAAGACCACTGGGTCCCGAAGAAAATCATTATTATTTTTGGCTCACTCAGTACCAGAACAACGGTCCCAAGCAGTCCCAAGCTATTTCACTCACCCCTGCATGTTCTGCATGAATCCACACACCCCTGATGTTATCTGTCAAACTTTCATAGCGAATCAAAACACACATAGTGTAGTAATAGAATTTCAACTAGAATAGGGTATGTTAATCGTTTGCTTGGGACCAATAGGCTACTAAAGTGGTGAGCCAATTTAAAATCGTTAGTTTCGTATTGATTGTTGGTATTAGTGAGATCTTGCGTCGAGAAGTCAATTGAAGAATATCGGAATAACTAGTTCATACTGTTTAATATTGTCTAACTTTCGATGTTTTCCAATTTCAATAGCAAATACACCCCTGCATTCTCGCCCGTGTGATTCGCTCGTCCTGTGTGGCGTCCGCCAATCATCGCCGATGTCACAATCGAACAGCTGTCAAATATCTTTACTCATTCATATTTTTCATCCTCCAGCCAGCAGCCGAACTCGCGAAAAAAGTTAGTGCGTACCAGCAGCAGCTCTTTTGTACAAATAAAGCCCGAAAAAGTGCATAAAACCGATCGAAACCCGCTTCCGGTTGAAACCCTCACCGGAAGAAGCCCCCGCAACGATTGCCGTAGTTCGTACCGGGTCGCAAAAGTGTAAAAATCGTGCATCGAAAATTGTGCAGCAGCCCATCGCAGGAAGGCGAGCTGTTCTAGAACAAACTCGACATCTCCGTCGCGGGGTGATTGCCATTGTGGTCGTGTGCGGGTATTTGTGTGCGTGAGAGAGGAGGAAGCACAATCCGCGAGAAGCAGCTGGTTGGAGACGAAGGAAAACACTTCGAGTGTGAGGAAGCTTCATTGAAGTGCGAAATTGACCGAAGGCGGTGTGCGGAAGAAGCAAAGCTCAGAAATTAAAGGAACAGTTCTGACAGAATAGACCAAGGTGGGTTTTTGGTCATCTTTTTCATTGATTTGCTTTCGTAATCGCTCCAGGAGCTGATGGCTGTGATGGGAATTTGTTGTGTAGTTTGAGAAGTATTCTTCATAGAAAGAGGGTGACTAATCGTCTAAATTAGGAAATTGGTTGTGGATTTGTGTAGGAGAAACAGAGGCAGGAAGTTATTGATAATGGAGTGTGACGTAAACGTCTGGTTTTCTATTGCAGATCACCGGCGCGATGTCTCAACAGCAACCATCTCAGCCCACGGTGCGGCACATTCCGATCTTTGTCGAGGGACGATCGGAGCCGTTGGTGAATAAGGTGCCGGAAACTCAGCCGAGTAACAATTCCTCGTCCAGTTCGATTCCGGAGATGCCTCGGATGGACATGCCACGCATGGATATGCCTTCGCATAATACCAACGACTTCTTCAAGCATGGGTCCATCTTTGACAAAGCGCGTGATTTTCCGGTGAGGAGTTTCGGCAATTCGTCCATTTTCAACAAGACCAGTCCGGCTCGGGAAGCGTCACCGGCCAGGCAAGTTCCTGTATTTACAGATGCTTCGTCAACAGTGCCTCCGTCGCAGCAGCAGCCGCATTCGGCTTCACAACACCAGCAGTCACAGCCTCGTGGTTCATCTCAACCACGGCAAACTCCGTCTCCTCCGACCGCTGCCCAGCAGCAACAGCAATACCAACAGGAGCAAGCCCAGCGGTATCAGCAGTACCAGCAAGAACAACAGCAAGCGGATAAACAGCAGCAGACAGCCCATGATCAGCCGGATTCACAGTCTAAACCGATGCCACCTCCGGCGAATGATCCGATCGGCAAAATTCAAAACATCCAGCGAGACGTTCTGCAGATCTTCGACCAGGTGGAAAAGTTCCAGGGCAGCAAGGAAGGCAAAAAGGACAAATCCTACATTTTCTTAGACGAGATGCTGACTCAGAATCTGCTAAAGCTGGACTCGATCGATGCCGAAGATCAACCGCAAATCAAATCCGCCCGCAGGGAAGCTATCAAGAGCATAAACCACTGCATCGCCGTCCTGGAGGCCAAAGCGGAAGCTGCCGGTTCCGCAGCGACTGACGCCAGTGAGTCTACCAATAGCGGTGAACAGCAGCAAGTGCCTAATGGAACGACTGCTAGAACCGGTTCCGGTGCTTCTCTATCGCATTCTTCGTCCAATTCTTCTAGTCAACAGCACCAGCAGTCGAAATAGACACTGTAAGATTTTTCCTTCTATACCAAGATCCTTTCATAACCACACACTCGTTCTTCAAATTTCAACCAAGTTAGCGTACACACAGATATTAGAAATTAGTATGATGATTGCTACACTCTGCTGCTATTACCTACTATAGCCCTATATATTCTTACGGTTCTTATAGTGACGTGTTACTTGGATGCGAGCAACAATTGCTAGTAGAGAGACTTTTGTACCACGAAATTTTGTATCCATCGAGGATTTTTAGAAAACAAACACATTGTAGATAACGAGCAAATCGCAAACTAACCAAAATTTAATAGTATTTTTTTTTGATTTTCGTTTGCTTCGTTTGTTTTAGTTCATTAAATTTGTAACGCGAGCAGCTTTTTGTCTTCGCAGTCAGTTTTTGAATCATTGTAGAATTACTTTAATTTGCCGTCCATCTTGAAAAGTTTCTTCGCTTCCGAACAAATTTGACATGAAATCATTTCGTCAAACAGGTACCCATTTCTCTACTTATTCCCTATACCATTGCGCCCAATTCATCCCCATTCACTGTTGATCACGTTTAGGCACTCTCTCTGAAAAACTCTCCTGCTAATGACGGTACTGTTCGGGTAGCGATCTCTAGTTTAATTTTACCCAGTGATGCCATCGAATCTTGTTGCGAGCGCCATCTTGACGGATGTTTTCATCATCTTCCGTCAATGCCCCCACCCCGGCAATCCTCACACGAATTAAAAACGATTGTTTTTTTTTACCTACAATCAGTTTTCCAAAAAGTAACTAGAGTTTTATTTATTGTTTATTTTTTGCTTTATGTTTTATGTTTTTTTTTCTGTAGAAATGTAAACTAATTTAATTGCTGAATAATTTCACAAAGAAACAACAGAAATACTGAAACGAAGCGTAAGTTTAAAGTGAGAGTTGATGATTTAAGGTAAGGAAAAAAAAAACTATGGTATCTTATATATATATAAAGATTAAACTTATTTAGAGCCGAGAGTAAATTAATACAATAAATATAATCAAATTAATTGACTTGAAAAGAAGGAGCGAAGCAAAATAATAAAAACTCACACACACACATTTCAGTTTTAGTGGACATTGGATGGTGTTTGTTGCGGTTTTAGAATTCTTCGAAAATCCTTGTTGGCATGTCAGTGTGATCGTCTGAATTCACCTACGGGCCCGACGTGGTCTCTGGATTTCAACAATGATATCATTCTAGTGCAATTTTATTCATTATGAGTTTTGATCCAGATTGAATGAGAAAAAAAAATGCATGTGCATGTTGAGGATTAAGGGCCGTTTCTTCAACTACAGCATCATCAACGTGCACTGCCCACACGAAGGGAGACCCGACGACGAGAAAGAAGCGTTCTATGCGCAGCTGGAGCAGGTGTAGGACGGCTGTTCGCAACGGGACGTCAAAATCTCTATCGGCGACATAAACGCTCAGGTAGGACGGGAGGCAATCCCCCTATTCTGCGAGTCACGTGACTCTCTCTCACCGGTGAGGTGACAATAGTCACCTCGTGTGAGGTGACTCTCCATTTGATTTACATGGAGAGTCACCTCACACGAGGTGACAATTGTCACCTCACCGGTGACAGAGAGTCACGTGACTCGCAGAATAAGGGGGAATGTATAGACCGGCAATCGGGCCAAACAGCCTGCATGCCGTATCGAACGACAACGGCCAACGATGCGTGAACTTTGCAGTCTCTCGAGGAATGGTAGTTCGAAGTACCTTTTTCCCCCGCAAGGATATCCACAAAGCCACCTGGAGATCACCTGACCAACACACAGAAAACCAAATCGATCACGTTCTAATCGACGGGAAATTCTTCTCCGACATTATCAACGTCCGCACGTACCGAACATAGATTCGGACCACTACCTAGTTGCAGTATGCATGCGCTCAAAACTCTCGACGATGCATAACACCCGTCGAAGTCGAACGCCGCGACCCAACATTGAGCAACTACGGGACGCCGGAGTTGCCCAGGACTACGCGCAGCAGCTGGAACTTGCACTACCCACGGAAGAGCAGCTTGGTGCAGCTTCTCTTGAAGATAGCTAAAGGGATATCCGTTCCACCATAGGTAGTACTGCTGCAGCGGCACTAGGTACTGCAATCCCGGATCGAAGAAATGACTGGGTTGACGGCGAATGCAAACTGTTAGTAGAGGAGAAGGATGCAGCACGGGCGAGAATGCTGCAACACCGCACGAGATTGAATGTGGAGCGATACAGACAAGCGCGGAACAGACAAAACTCGGTTTTCCGAAGGAAGAAGCGTCAGCAGGAAGACCGAGATCGCAAGGCGATGGAAAATCTGTACCGCGTAAATGACACACGGAAGTTCGTGCAAAGGCTACGTGCCGCAAGCCGATATGTGCAAGGACTTGGACGGTAACCTTCTCACGAACGAGTGTGAGGTGAAGCAGCAGAAAACGAAGGTGGCACGGCAACATACCTTGGAGCACGCGCAGAAGACTACAGGCTACCGGCCTCTGATCTTCAAGAAGTTGAGGAGGAGATCGGTCGGCTGAAGAACAACAAAGCAGCTGGTGTAGATCAACTACTAAGTAAGCTATTAAAATACGGTGGTGAAGCACTGGCTAGAGCGCTGCACTGGGTAATTGCCAAGATTTGGGAGGAGGAGATATTACCGGAGGAGTGGATGGAAGCTGTCGTATGCCCAATCTACAGAAAGGGCGACAAGTTGGATTGCTGCAACTACCGCGCGATCACACTGCTGAGCGCCGCCTACAAGGTACTCTCCCAAAATCTATGCCACCGCCTGTCACCATTTGCAAGAGAGTTCGTGGGGCAATACCAGGCGGGATTCATGGGTGCCCGCGCTACCACGGACCAAATTTTCGCGATTCGGCAGGTTCTGCAGAAATGCCGCGAATACAACGTGCCCACACATCATTTGTTCATCGATTTCAAATCCGCATACGACACAATCGATCGATATCAGCTATGGCAGATTATGCACGAGTACGGATTTCCGGATAAACTGACGCGATTGGTCAAGGCGATGATGCATAGAGTGATGTGCGTTGTTCGAGCATCGGGGACACTCGACTTCCTTTGAATCTCGAAGGGGGTTACGGCAAGGTGATGGACTTTCGTGTCTGCTATTCAACATCGCGTTAGAAGGTGTGATCAGAAGAGCTGAGATAGACACGAGTTGCACGATATTCAGGAAGTCCATCCAGCTTCTTGGCTTCGCCGATGACATTGACATCATGGCACGGAACTTTGAGACGATGGCGGCAACGTACATCAGACTGAAGGCTGAAGCTAGACGGATTGGACTTGCCATCAACGCATCAAAGACAAAATACATGAAAGGAAGAGTTTCTAGGGAAGTTAGCCTCCCACCCCGAGTTCAGATTGACGGTGACGAAATCGAGGTGGTCGATGAGTTCGTGTATTTGGGCTCACTGGTGACCGTCGAAAATGATACCAGCAGAGAAATTCAAATACGCATTATGGCAGAGAATCATGCCTAGAATCATGTGAAGGAGGCGAATGAACCACGAGTTGCACCAGCTACTGGGAGAACCATCCATCGTCCACATTACAAAAATTGGGCGACTACGGTGAGCTGGGCACGTCGTAAGAATGCCGCACGATGACCCAGTGGAAATGGTTCTAGAAAGCGACCCAACAGGAACAAGAAGAAGAGGCGCGCAGCGGGCAAGGTGGATCGACCAAGTAGAAGGCGACTTGTGGACCCTTTGCAGACTACGAGGCTGGCGAAGCGTGGCCATGGATCGAGTAGAGTGGAGACGACTTCTTCGGAAGGACAACAAGGCCTTAGTCTGATTGGTAAGGTAAGTATGAATGAAAAAAGAACAAAGTGCAGCTTGAAATATGGGTCACCTCACTAGTGACAGAGGCGCACTTATTTGGAAACCTATAGATTTGGAATTTTCTCAATAAGTTCCTTAGAAGAATCACCCCAAAATGTCTTCAGTCTCAGTGTTACTTTCAGGTTTCTCCTCAATAATGTTATGATTCTCTCCGGAATTGCCTAGAAATTTTCTCCATGACAAAGAACAGTTCAGAAAACTCTTGGAATGGACTCTACAATTTTTATTGTAGTCTCAATGATTTTCTCAAAAAAAGCATTAACTCAAAATTTCCTAGTAATTCTTCTCGAATTTACCTCATCCAATGGAGAATTATGGAGATTGCTTTAGAACTAACCTGCATTTTTTTTTGTGAATTTATTTGTTTGTACAGGCTTAATCGAATAAACTTTACAGAGTCAAATTATCTTTTGCGTTATAATCCTGAGAATTCGATTCCCTTGGAATTCTCTTCAGAATCTCCAGGAGATAAAAGCTGCTCAGAAATTTTCATGAGAATTTCCTCTCAGTATCCTTAAGACTCTTACTCCAGGAATTTCATTGAAACTCTCTTCAACATAAGCCTAAAATTGTGAGGCTTTTTTTTCTATGCTCAGAATTCTATACGTTTGAAATTACTATCGGCATTCCCTTGAAGCTCTCCTTAAAAGAATACACGGCCAACCAGACCAACTCAGCGACAGAATTCGATTGACTCAGAGCATTTTATTTCCATATGAAAATTACTCATATTTGGATTTGTAGTTACCAGTTACAGAGCTATATGGGCAGTGTCAGCAACCGGTGGAAACTAACGATTTTAAATTGGCACAATACTTGACTAGCCTATTGGTCCCAAGTACATCGATTAACGTACCCCATTCTATTCGAAATTCTAGTACTACACTATGTTTCTTTTGATTCGCTATAAAAGATGGCAGATAAAATGAGGGTACTGGTACTATCTTCGGTCCCAAGCTAATCGATGCACCCCTCGAAACATAGGAAAATCCAATAACCCCTCATTTTATCTGTCAAACTTTCATAGCGAATCAAAACAAACATATTGTAGTACTAGAATTTTGACTAGAATGGGATACGCTCAACCGGTGGACACTAACGATTTAAAATTGGCTCACCACTTGACTAGCCTATTGGTCCCAACCAAATCGATTAACGTACCCCATTCAAATATTCGTAACATAATTTCAGAACCCGTATCAATAAAAAGAAAAAGGTGAACACAAAACAACAAACTGCCAGTGTGGTTCAATCCACAACTAAAACATTTGAAGAACAAAAAGCAGCAAACACACAAATTATACAAAAAAAGAAAACACTAGAACAAATTTACAACACTATCATAACATATGCAACCAACTCAACACAGCCATTAACACTGCACATGAAGAATATAATCGGTAAGTCGAAAGTGAAGTCAAATCATGTCCTAAGAACTATTTCAATTATGTAAAAACGAAATTGAAAAGTAATAATTTTCTGTTACGAATACATTTTGATGGAAATGTAGGTGAAAATCCTTCTGAAATCTGCATTCTCTTTGCAAATTTCTTTCAGGAAGTATACACCACATTTTCTGAAAAAGACCGCGCCCGCGACTTCTTTGCATTCATTCCCGAAGTCTCTAACAACATATCTGTCAATTAAATATGTCAACATGAAGTCCTCAATGCACTATAAAATTTGGACGCATCTAAAGGACCAAGACCTGATGGAATTGCACCTGTATTCTTGAAGAATCTTTCAGAACAACTCACCCTTCCTTTAGAACGCCTTTTCAATAGGCGAATCCAATAAAAACTAAGTGATTGTTTCAGCCTCTGGCGGTGAATAGGGGAACCCTCAATAGAGTGATGAGGGTGGAAATTTTCACCGCGAAGCATCCCTAATAAAATTGTTATGGTTATTTTGCTTAACGACGTGTACCGGGTATCATCCAAACCATTTGCGGAATAGTTCTATTATTTGGGTTATCGTTAGTTTATGGTTATTTTTTATTAGGGATAGGAAGAGGAACATATTTTCACCTGTTCTGACTTATTTATCCACCGCAGGTGTTTGAAATCATCATCCACGTGGAATATTTTGTTTTCTGTATAGGGTTTGCAGTGATCCGGCTGGTGCTTCCATATACAGGGTGTCCATCCAACCGACAAATCCGGGAAAAAAACTGGGAATTCGGATTTACCGGGAAAAATGCGGGAAATATCATATATACTCATCTTAAGTAAATTTTTTGATTTTATATTAGTTTTGTAGGCCACTTGAAGAATCCTTTACACCTTTAAATTTATAATGTTACTTGGAATCAATCAACTAAAGGGTGATACGGTCAAAATTTGGTCAATATCAACTTGACGTATTTCTTTCAATTTTGCATTTAAAAAACCTGAACACCCCTCATTTTGAAGGTGTGTGTGTGTAGAATGTTGCTCCTATTTTGATTTTGGAATTCACTCTTCAGTTATCAAAATGCCGTCCAAGCAAGAAGAGCAGCGTATCAAAATTTTGCTCGCGCATCGCGAAAATCCGAGCTACTCGCACGCAAAGTTGGCAAAATCGCTAAAAGTTGCCAAATCAACCGTTACAAATGTAATTAAAGTGTTTGGGGAACGTTTGTCGACAGCCAGGAAGTCTGGATCGGGGGGAAATCGAAAACCGGAAGCCGCTGAGACGACAAAGAGAGTTGCCGGTAGTTTCAAGCGAAACCCTAACCTCTCTCTCCGAGATGCTGCAAATAAGCTGGGTGTATCGTCTACAACCGTGCATCGAGCCAAAAAACGAGCCGGACTATCGACTTACAAGAAGGTAGTGACTCCAAATCGCGATGATAAACAAAATACGACGGCCAAAGCGTGATCCCGGAGGCTGTACACGACGATGCTGACGAAGTTTGACCAACCGGTGAGCACTCGTGTTTATTTCAGTTACCGTGTGGACATAATTTGTGATGAGCCCCGGTCCCTTTCAAATTGTATCATTATTTATATACGATCCATATATTTGAAATGACGTTTCACATTCATCTAGTGATGGCCGATTTTCATTCGAATTATCGATTAATCGATTAACGAACCGAAAGGTAAAATATTTGCAATCGGTTTAATCATGCCGATATAAGCATTAACTTCTCCAGAGGATCATCACCGATCGTTTCAAACAAGTGCTGCACTCTCATTGGTGGAAAAAGTGCAGCACAACAAACAAAAAAAAATCGATTAGTTGTTAATCGAGTAATTAAAAAATGGGACACCTCTGATTTTGGTGTGTTTATTTTGATAAAAATGAGCGCAAAATTTCATCTCTACCGAAGGGGCAGCAAAACCACAAAATTACCTTGAATACGAGGGGTATTCAATGGATGAAAGGGACCGTGAAAGAGGACACTAAAATAGAAAGTTTTTCTTCCGACAGTTTCATCTTAGTATTCATCTTTGGTTTGACTGCGTGGTAATGGACGACGAAACCTACGTCAAAGCCGACTACAAGCAGCTTCCGGGACGGGAGTTTTATACGGCAAAAGGAAGGGGAAAGGTAGCAGATGTTTTCAAGCACATGAAACTGTCAAAGTTCGCAAAGAAATATCTGGTTTGGCAAGCCATCTGTACCTGTGGCTTGAAAAGCAGCATTTTCATAGCTTCCGGGACTGTCAACCAAGAAATTTACGTGAAAAAGTGTTTGAATAAACGTCTGCTGCCTTTCCTGAAGAAACACGGTTGTTCCGTACTGTTTTGGCATCTTGCCATTACGGTAAAAAGGCCATGGAGTGGTACGCCGCCAACAACGTGCAGGTGGTTCCCAAGGACAAGAACCCTCCCAACACGCCAGAGCTCCGCCCAATTGAGAAATACTGGGCTATTGTCAAGCGGAACCTAAAGAAGACCTAAAAAACTGCTAAGGGCGAGCAGCAGTTCAAGGCAAACTGGCTTTCTGCGGCGAAGAAGGTGGACAAGGTGGTTGTACAAAATCTGATGGCAGGGGTCAAGCGTAAGGCCCGGCAATACCATCCCTCTGCAAAGGGGGAGTTTGGTAAAGATGGATGAAAAAACCGATTTGTACCTTCCTTAAAAGTTGTCCTAGCTCGCTTGTCTAATATCTATATACAATCTTCACACTGCCGTACTCTAACGGAACTATCAACTCTATGCTTTCATCTACTCCATCTATCGTATAAAAATTACCACTACAGTCTGTTATTTGAAATTAGCATCTTCAACTATGTTTCAGAACCTATTTCGGTCACCTCTGGGGTGCCCCAGGGTTCTCATGTAGGCCCAATTCTTTTTATTTTGTACGTAAACGACATTTCCTACATGCTTAAAAAAATAAAACTTCTTATATATGCAGACGACACGAAGCACTTCATGGAAATAAGTAATTCTAGCGACACAGAAGAATTCCAGAATTAGCTCGTTAGTTTCGTATTGATTGTTGGTTCGTTGGTGCTTTTAACAGCCTAAATGTATGATCAGATGATCAAAAACATCGTACCATCACTGTACTCACGGTCTATGGTACAGTTCTAAATGACACGAACCGTTATGTAGCATTTTCGCGAAAGTCTCAGCTCTCATACACACACACTCACCCATCTACAAGTTTTTCTTCTCGCAAAAGTGTAGTGAACAGTGTAGTAGTCGTCCTCCTTTCGTGGTAAAAGGAGAAAGAGTGAGAGAGAGCGAACGCCAATAGGTGGTAGTAATCGTTCATAAATCGCATGGCTACGATTGTGTGCGTACGGTTACGAGACAAGATTGTTGTGTGTTGAGCGAGCAGTCGCAACTTAACTAGCGCAGATTGGATCGTTCGTTCGGTGGTGTTGTAGTATTTCAGCAAACGCAACAGAAGGAAGAGAACCCCAGTTTCGGACTAGCTGCGAAAAAGTGTAAATTTTGTCCCGTTTAGCAGCGTTTTTCGCGTCCCATTCCGCGATGGAGGTGGAAAGCAACGTCATCAAGGACGAGTCCTCCCGGTAAGTGGTGCGGTGGTGGCGATTTTTGCTGCCCGAAATCCGTCTCTGCGAAAAAATGGATGACAGAAGGAAGAATCCGAAGGAGAGATTTTTTTTCGCCTATACAACTTCGATCTTTTTTTACTGCTACTGCTGCTGTTGCTGGTGTTGTTGCTCTACTATACTCTCACTTTGTTTTTGTTGCTTGTATGTGAAATAATAACGATGCACGGACGGACGACGGATGATATCAAAATACCGTCACGCAACTTTGCTTGTGTGCGAACCCCCTTGTGGAACAGTGTGTGATGCGAGGAACAAGCCAGTGCTGCCAGTTGAATGGATAGAGAGATCAATATTTTCAACGAGGTACTCAGGAATGTGTTTGGGACTTGCAGAAGACGAAGTTCGCGTAAGCAAGTCCTCTGGTGACCCACCCGTGGAACAATCCGCACGGTCTGGCGATTAAAAATTGAAACAGGACATGCAATTAACACAGTTTATACTAACAGGCTATCGTTACTAATAAAACAACAAATTACAAGTAATCACATTGATTACGGTGCTTTGCCGTGGAACAATATTGTTGGATTTCGTCTTCTAGAAAGTCGAGAAAATAGGGCTCTATGCTCTGCTTAAAAATTTAGCGATTGTTTACTTGATTTTCTTTAAATCTCTGATCCAAAACATGCACGACTTTAGTGATTAAATTTGTTACTTTATTTTAACGAATAGTGTAGTAGGATTACCTCTGATTCGAGAGTTCGTAGTTTCATGGTTTTATTTGGTATGTATGAAGCTGGGAGGGAGAAGCAAATACTACACACAAAATCTAATAAATCAATCACAATATTGCGCAAGAAAATTCTTGGCAAATAAAAATTATCAAGTAATTTGTTCCCATAATGAGGGGTTTCGGTTTTTCGTGTCTCTGCTGTTTACGTGTTACCGTCGGATGACTTAATGCTTGTGGATAGTTGGAGTTGAAAAATCACTTGTAGAGACTCGTAGTGAATCAGCCAAAATGAAGTGTCAGGTGAAATACTGCGGCCGGAACAGCAGGAATTATCCTGGATTGGGTGTTTTGCGCTTTCCTACTGATTATATCACAAGATCCCAATGGATTAAGTTCTGTCGGATGGATTCCGGAACCGGCGAAAACCAAGCTCGCGAGTCTGTAGCGTAAGTGTTGACGGTACAAGTGTTTTGCATTTTATCAATGTTGCTATGATCTTTTTTAATTATTTGCAGGCCCATCTCTTAGAGGACTGCTTCCGCGTCGATAAAAATGGGAAGAAAACGAAAATAAAGATGCCGTTCCGTCAATTGAAGCTTTCTTGCTACCTCCTGAAGACGAACCGGAAGAGAGCGATCGGTTGTTGGACTTTTATAAATCCCGTCCCCTCTACTCTTCGCCGGCTCTTCTGGATTATAACTACGCGAACTTTGCTGCTGTGGTGCCTGAATGGGTTGCTATTGGAGATGAAAAAGATGAACAGAACACTGAAGAGGATTCAGACCCGGAAGTCGCCAGGAACGATCTAGATTTGGAGGAAAAGTTCGAACCACAAAGTGAACCGGTCTGTGGTACAGCGTGTAACGAAGGAACTCATTCGGGCTCAAGGATTAGAGCTAGTGAGAATGAAAATTCATTCAAGTTGCTCAGGTATAATAATAAACGCGTAGGTAATATCATGTACTGGAATGATGTGGGAATCCCAGAGCCAGAGTATGATGTTTTGACCACGTCTGAGCACATTAACAAACAATCCCATAAAGATGATAGGATATAGACATTTGAATACCCGAACCAAACCCGTAACCAATTCATAAAAATTTGAAGAACCCGAACCCGACCTGACCCCTGTAATTAATGGAATTAATTTAATTACGGCTGCTTCCTGTGCCGGAGTTGAAATTTTTGCGTGCCCCTCGATGCTACCCGTACCCAAATATACCCCTTACCCGATCCGAACTCAAAAATATTTTCTTCGTATACTCGTACCCGACACGAACCCGAAAATTTAGAGTAACCGTACCTGAATATCTCTACAACCCCCTCCATTTTGAGAAAACTATCAAATTTACGATATAACATGCTTGATACACTACAATTTAGCTAAATTACATACCGATTCCTGAACTGAAGAAACGAAAATTTGGCAGTGCAAATTGTTTTCAAGCAAGAAAATATTTTGTATTCGATATCAATACTTCCCATTGATTGATGTTTTGTACTGCTGGCTCCCACTGACAGTTTGTGACAGCTCATTTCTGGCTTCACTTGACATTCACATTTTCCGAGTCTGTTTCTCCCTCCCAGGTATGAAGTATCGCAGCGAAGCTAGAAATTTGTAAAAGTATTTATAACCTTTCCAACATACATGTACATATTTTCGAGGTGCTTGTTTCACATTTGAATTCCCACACTGCGACCAGCGTTTAGGCGCACATACTTAATCTGCGTATGAGCGCCAAAAGAAGGGGGTATTATGTACCAAAGAAAGGCTCCACAGAGCTTATAAGTAAGCGACAGCGAAGACGATGATCCAACACGATAGTGCAATAATTTTAAAATGAATACACACACAATGTAAGAAAGACCACACTGATGATCGCGTTCGCTTGTTTTTGTTTTCTTCCGCAGCAGAAGCAGAGGTGCTGCTGGTCAGCACCACCATAGAGGCAGCAAGAGCAATGCTGCTAGCGCCAACAGTGCTAACACCGTTACGGTTAAAGTTGGTCTCAATATGAACATATGCAGACTGTGTCTGATGGAGGGTACCACCACTTCCCGGCTGCAACCGGTTTACTATGCAAAGGACACTGCGGATGAGCCACTATTGCAGAAGATTCTGGATCTCACAACGATACAGGTAAATAACGTTAAAGTACTGGAATTTTAGGTTGCCATTTTAGGTCTTCCAATACTTTGCATCGGAAAACTTGATGTGTGAACAAATGCGAAATGCCACGAGCCTAAAAGGCAATTGAAAAGAAATAATGTAGCTCTGCATACATTGAAGAGCATTGGTTCAGTTTATAATGATATCTGTCACTCGTGTAATATGGAATTTGAATCCTCGTAGCATCTGCTTTGCTGTTCGGAGGATTGTACCTAAGATTCTCACATCCATGAGGATCACCGTAAAACGTTATAACTACCTAAGTAGTTTCACCAATAATGATCTTAACAGCAAAGACTGCTTGCAAGTAACTTCCAAGTCTTCAATCTGCCTAGCGCTATCCCACATTTGGTTAGTAATAGAATAATCAAAATCAATTGGATTTTGTTCGCGGTGGAAAGGGATCAGGATACAGGCAATTCACAATCAGTGATACGATCGGCAGACGAGAAAGCTTATGCGAAATCACATGTTACTCCCTTGGGGGAACGCTGGATGTGTCCGTGAATGCTTCACACCACCAAGAAGCGAAAAACTTTAAGAGAAGCAGTCTTGAGGCAAGTGTATACGGCATCAACTTGTCCGTCAGAGTTCATGGCTCGTAGAGTGACAAGAATTCAGTCCAATTGGTCGTAACAACTGACAGTTTGGATAGATTCTGTCCTAAGATTTAGGGGAGCTAAAAAGATCCACATTTGATTAGCAACATCTGCACGTTACAACGTTTCAGTGCTGTTTATAAGAGCATACATTCAGAATGGACGCAGGAATTCTATCCATACCAACAGCAAATGCTGGCGGCGCCTTACAGATTCAGAGCTCGAAGGATTGCTTACCGAAATGAACCTAAGGATAAGGATTGCTTACCGAGATGGTATCTTCAGAGCGCTTCTGCTCTTTACCGTTTCAGTCGACGCTGGGGACATCGATCATGCCTTGGGCTGTGGCTTTGAGTTTGAACAGGAAATAGAACAAATATGCAGCGCAAATCGTTTGGTTGAAGTAGCCAGCTAGTTCTAATATCCGCCACTCAGCATGGGAGGATACTGCACTAAACTTTGTCTCACATGTACGAGTATCTTCGGAACGTTCCTCAACAACGTTCGGTGCCGGAAGCTTTACCAGTACGTTTCTAAAGGAAGACCACTATCCTTCTAGTGAGATCAAAGGTTGAAGCGCCTCCGAAACAGTACTTACTGTAGTTACAGCTTAATTAAACAGAATAAGGTCTGGTCGGGACCTCCCTTAGCTCAGTCGGTAAAGGCACAGCTACAAAGCAAGACCATGCTGGAGGTGGCTGGGTTCGATTCCCGGTCCGGTCTAGGAATTTTTCGGGTTGGAAAATGTCTCGACTTCCCTGGGCATAGAAGTATGATTGGACTTGCCACACAATTATACCAATGCAAAAATGGTACAGGCATCGAAAGTTCTCAATTAATAACTGTGGAAGTGCATCTAGAACACTAATAGCGAATTCGTTTATTATTCAGTTCCAACCTGGATCGGATATCAAGATTGGGTCTGCTTGTTTTCTGACAAACGTCAGTTTGTTCGTTTGTTTTTAAAACGTAGCTCAGGTTGAGGTTCGCACTGACAAAAAGTTCGGTTTCGCACTGGGTTGGAACTGGTTCCAACCCCGATAATAAACGAATTCGCTATAAGTTGAGAGCACGCAAAAAGCTAATATGCCATGCGCAATAAGCTTGAAAAGCGAGGAAGAAGGTCTGGAGAGCGAATGTTCCTATTGGATGCATCATAGCCATGGAAAAAGAAACCATCGATAATGGTTGAGCTGACAGTCGATGGAATAGTTTGCAGCTCAACCTGTAAAGATCCTCCACTTGAGCGGAGATTGGTTATAATCTCCGATCTGCAGAGTAGCACAGTGTTGACGATGCAATGGTCTCAATACTGTCAATATCGTTGCGACGGTCAGGTGGTGGTAACGATTAGTACGATGTACAGCATAGGTTTCCCAAAATAATTGCCCACGCATCATCTAATAGTAAATCCCACAGCGGTTAAAAACGAAGAAGCACCTTTTACAAGCATGCAACAACTGTCTGCACACCTCGTTTCCTGAACTGAACAAGACAAATATACGACGAAGGATGGAAGAACAAATGATTCATGTGCAAATCAGAGCAGCGCCGGGAGGTTTCCCAATCGAAGTTGTACCAGACATGTGTCCTGAAACCACGTTCCTATCTTTCTTTTTAGGTCACCTACGCCACGGATTTCCCCTCGTCGATATGCATCGGCTGCAAGAGCAAACTGGAAGAGTACCACCATTTTCGGAGACAGTGCTTAGAGAACGATGAACTTCTTAGGATGAAATACTACGAAATCAAGGCGGCTGAAGATTATCACCAGCAACAACTGCAACGCAGTCAGCACGTGGAGCAACAAGAGGTCGTAGAGGAAGTCAAAGGTGAGGAGTACATCGACGATGGAGACGATATCACATTGGCCATCGACGAGTCGGCGGATGTGGAAGAGGAGTATCAAGAGGAAAGCGAAGAACTTCAACAGCAGCAGCAACAACAACTGCAACAACAACAGCAACAGCAACAACAACAGCAGCAACAACAACAACAACAACAACAGCAGCAGGAGCAAGTGGTTGAACAGCAAACGATTCAATATGTGGCGGCTGACGGCACTATGACCGAGTACGTTGAGTCCGGGGATGTTCGGACGGTATCTAGCTCCTCGCAACAGCAACAGATTCACATCAGCGGGTACAGTGAGGGTGAAACGATTCCGGCTGGCGAAGGGCATGAGATCTACTACACGGACGGTAACGATACCTATGCCATTCAAACGACAGCGGAAGGATACGTGAATGCCGCCAACTATGTGCCACAGGGTTATGATAATCAAACCGAAATCGAGTGTACCACCATCGAACAGGAGGAGGAAGTCTACATGGAGGAAGGAGGAGGCACCCCGGTAGGAAGCATTATCACTCCGAGAGGAGTGCACGATCGACCTTATGTGTGCAAGCATTGCAAAACTAGCTTCAAATATGAGTACAACTATGAAAGACACATGAAGAATCATGCAAAAGTTCTGTATAGGTGTGGCAAATGCTCGAAAACGTTCACCAAGCAGAGAAAGTGTCAGCAGCATTTTCTGAAGGCGCACTCGTCCCAACGGTATGAGTGTGACATTTGCTTTAGAACCTACAGTCTCCCAACTCGTTTAGAAAACCACGTGATCGAAATGCACTCGGAAAACGGCGTGTACAAATGCGATCGGTGCACTGAAACCTTCAACTCCTACCTAGATTTCAAATCCCATCGCAACAGCCATCACAGCATAAACGGGTCCAACAGTGCGACGGTGATCGCACAAGCCGTAGAACAACAACGAACTCAACCCATCCAGCAGGTGCAGTCTCCGCAACCGCACATAGCACCTCACACAACTACTTCGGTCAGCACCCGCTCCTCGGTGTCGGACAATTGCGACTTTGAGGTGATGATCGATGAAACCATGATCGCGAAACCGTCGTCCGCCGGGGTTGAATCCGGCGACGAAAAACGACCGCTCGTGGTAGCAACCGCTAGCAGTTCCACTCAGGAACAGGACATCATACTGATCGATGATGAAGCGGCTGGCAGTGTTGCGGTGAATAACAATAACAAACCACCCGCCTCGGCAGCGATAGTAGCATCCACCATCCCCGGTACCAACAGTGTCATCAGTGGTGGAAAGATAGTGACCTCCGGGAGTGCTGCTTCGATTGCCATCACTCCGGCGAGCAGTAGTAATAGCAGTAGTATACCGACAGTCATTACAAATGGGATTGAAAAGAATAGCCTACACAGACAACTGTTGCAGCAGATCGAGGAAAGTGAAGCCAACTCACCGGGGCCCAAGGTTTACAAGTGCGACAGCTGTACGAAGAACTTTGTACATCTGAACAATCTGAAGGCGCACATCTACGCGGAACATGACAACGATAAACCGTTCAAGTGCAAACTGTGTCCCATTTCGTTCAAGACGAAGGAGATCCTGGTGATGCACATGGTGAGTACAGTTGTTTAGAATATCGATTCCGGGCAAACTGACACAAGATGGTGGGATTCAATCACCTCGCTGGCTATATTCGCATATCAGTTCCATATGGATTTCTGTCAATTTTGAGATAACTTATCAAGCCAGTTTGTCCCAGCAACTTTCAAGTATTTACATGGGAATTGCACTTTGTAATTTCAACTGCCATTTTCTCAATGCTTTTTTTCATATGGGACTGATATGCGGATATAGGCAGCCGTCACGCACTGGTGCAAAGGGACCAACGCGAAAAACTTCCATCCTGGGCTGCTGTTTGCTTTAGCTTAAACCTGGGTCCGGATTAAATTCCGATCGACTTGTTTGATTTCCTTTTTGAGGTTCCACTTCTATGAGTCCCTGGGCCTACCCCTGCTGCGATATCCTGCCGGGTTCCAATTCAGCGCTTGTTTGCCGGTTTCGATTCCGCCCCTTCGTAGTGTGTGGCCGAGCCAGCTCCAATGACGTTCTCGAATTTCAGTTGATATCGGCTTCTGATGAGATCGACGATGGAGCTCTGCATTCGAGATCCAGTTGTGAGGCCACCAGGTAAACACCATGTTTCGTTGGCGTATTCGTGGTTCGTGAACCTATGTCGCTCTTGGCCCTGCCGTCTGGCTGATGAGAAATTCACCCATATTCTTGTTTTCGGTGGAACCCAAGGGGTGGTCACTCTACACACGCATTTTGAGCCAGCTTTTTTTTTCTCAGTGTGCCTCAACCAGTGCTGTAAATTCTCAAAATCAATTCAAGAACAACATGTGAGAAGGGCATACAAGCTTTTTTTGTAAACAAACCTTCTTATGCTCTTTTCTCGCTACCCATATGACACCAACGCAAACCATCAACATCACCGGATAGGGGAAGCTTTCCGCTTCCCGATGATGTTATTAGTTTTCGTGGACGACCCTCGGTTGGCGAGAAAAGGGCATACCAAGATTTGTTTACAAAAAGCTTGTATGCCCTTTTCACATGTGGCTCTTGATTTGAGAAACGCTTGATATCATTCAATTGAGTGTAACCTACACATAAACGGATCTCTGATCGACATTACGGCGAAAAAAAGCTAAGCCAACCCGACATCAACTGACTTCTATTAAACCCCAACCCGATGTTAACCCGACATAAACCCAAAATTGACCCGACAGCAACACGACATTGGGTCAACATCGTCCTTAAATTTGCCTTACATTGATCCGACAACTCGGGTCGACTTGTCTGTTCGGGACCATTTTGCTGGGTTTCTTCCATACTCCACTGTCGTATATCAAATCAGTTCGCGTTTGTCTGTCAACGTTAGCTGTTCAACTCGAGCTGTCTGTGCATTTTATTTTTCTTCTCTCCTTCGCTTGCTGTGTGCTGGCGTTCCGCCTCCCGGACGAAAGGCGCTTGCTAAACGTTGTCGTCATCGTGTTTGTGTGTGAGGTTGTGTTTCAGTAATACAATCGAAGGGTGCCATGGCGTTTGTTTTCGGTCACTCGCGAGTTTATTCTGCCGGTGAGGTGCTGGCGCTGCGTTTTACAGACTGTGCTGGCGAACTAAAGCCATTGTGTCGCGAGTGATTGGTGATGGAAAGTGGATGCAGTTCATTTTTTCTCTGCTGAGATCCCTCCAGTTGGAGCAGCTAGTGTGAGTTTCGGGGTTTTTTAGGGTTTCCGCTGCTGTGTGAGGAAGGAAAGGCGAGAGTGCTGTTTTTAACACCGGTTGAAGAAGTAGCGGCAGCATATCTATGGGAGCTCTTCGAAAACATCGTGATGTCATGGATCCCTTTGCAACATATCCGGTGAGATCTTTCCTTTATTTTTCTCTTAACTTTCATTCCATTATTATATGAAACATTATATGCTGGGTACGGTAGGGTTCACCAGGGCACCCGATTTAGGCGAGGTGGATGGGGGGAGTGGAGATGCCGACTCCCTGTTTGTGGAGTTTCGTGAGGGGAGGGCGGGTTCTTCTCTCCACTCACGTCCCTTTGTTGGAAGGCCTGTTTTATGGCCGGTTGTGTGATCCTGTTGTTGGAGGGAGATTATCGTTTGTCCCATGGATGCGCGTTGGCGATGTTGCCCACGGATTCACCCAAATCGTTTTTGGCCTTTCATGTAGTGGCGGGTGGAGTGCAATTGGAGGTTGTTGGACTTGATCAGGTCGAGCAGTGAGGATGGTCCACAGTCTGTGGCCAGTTATCATGCTACAGTGAGTGGTAGTTCCATGTCATCATCATCATCCATAAAAATTAGCTTAAGTGAATGGAAAACAACAGAGTTAATCATCAGATAAAAAAAAACTCACATTTATTTTTACTGTGGAAATTTTTTTTAGGTATTTTTAAGTTTGACGTTTGCATAAAGTTTACCACCTGTTGTCATATTTGATGTATTGTGTTACTATTGGATTGGCACAATGGGTCGATTTTCGTATTTTGGTTTGTATGATTTAAGGGCCACCAATGTATGTTCATATAAAGTAGTTTTTATCATTTATTACATTTGTTTTAGACATGCTTGTACATTTCAGGTAATTTATTTTCATTAGTGATACCATTATTTTTTTACATTAGTTTATTTTTTTTAGCTCAATTGTTACAAAATTTTTTATTGTTTTATTACAGTACTTGTTTTTAGAAGAAGCGGTCAATATTTTTCAGGTCATTACTGACGTTATTATATTCATGCTTATCGTTGGAGGCCTGACGTTGAACATATCAACAAATTAACTTCTAATTAATTGTAGTTATTTCCCGTCAGTATGCAATGGATACAAGGAATGCTTTTTCAAATATTGTTTTTTTTTTTTATAACATCCTATAATATTATTTTATTACCTATTTTTTTATATTACTAGAATTGACTATTTTGTGATATTATTTTCTTCGTTTATATTATACATCTTATATCATTATATTATTTTTTATCCACCGGGATCTTGGAAGTAAATATAAGTTTTCGTGTAATGTATTTTCAAGGAATGATATTTTACTGCATGTAGTATTACATCAATAAATTTAATTTTATTCTTCATATTATTATGTTTTCAAACAGAATTAAAATTATTTTTTTCAGATCATCAAAATTTAAAAGATCAAATTGTAATATGATTTTCATGGGCATCAATCGAGTAATATTCATGCAACGTATAAATATAAGTAGTATGATACTCTTATTAAATTATTTTGTGGCATACAGCCTGTCTGATAGTACAATTAATTCAAGAATACATATTATTATAATATAATATCTTATACATTACATGAATTTATATTAGTGCAGAATTTACTAATTAATTAGTTGCTTACATATTAACCAACAGCTGAAAAAAAAAAACGCATTACATCATGATAGATAATTTCAATTATTCTTTAATACAGCCATTGCATTACAGATTAACTTAACATATCACTATACTTTTGTAGAGTGTTCAATATTTACAATCATAGATAACCTAGATTTTTCTTTTTTTCCACTCATTACTTCTAATATTCATACGTCGCATGGGGTACAGTATCAATCTATGACACATGTATAATTTGTATGCATAAGTACCATTAAAATATAATTAGTTAAGGGAAGATGAATCACAAAAAAAATAAGGTTTTTAAATTGTCATCCTTATTTATTATCATACATTGTATTTCACTTTATATTTTATACACATTACATTTTTTACTTTTACATTCATCAAGAATAATCCATCCATTCAGAAAAAAAATCCCAAACATATCTGATACATTGAACGTATCGATATCAATTATTCATGTTTATTTCAATATTTATAAATTTATTTTGTATCGCATTACTCATCGAAATTAAAATTAAGCTGATGAAGCAGAGGAAGCGACAACATTACATTATATGCAAAATATTTATTATACAGGTTATTTCTCGTCATGCATGACATCATTTAGATGAGATTCGTTTTTTATTTTTTGTTTTGTTAGCTAAACATTACACTTTTTTCATTATTGTAAGGAGAGTATCAAGCATGATTCGAGCTAAAAATATGTATTTACTTAATATAACCTTGAGATTTCAGTGTTACATCCACCTTATGCTGTGAGCTGAGGAGACATAAAGCTGTATCTTATTATATGTAAAACAGTTATTAATTGAATTGCAGAATATCAGCTATTTTATCCACATAAATGTATTTTCATTATTTCATATTGTTATGTTCGGATATATTTCATTTCTCCATTACATATATTTACTTCATATAAATAAATACTGGGTTGGGAGGGAGCATCAAGGTATCATTTGACCTGAAACTGGACGATGGAGTGGTATGACAACCGGAGTCTAGGAGGGAGTAAACACTATCATTTTCTTTATCCTACCGATTCGATTGTGGTGGTGTGAATTCTACTCCAACAGTTTCAGTGAGATTGACGCGCCCTTCTTAACAAACCATCCTGTAGGAAGCTTAATAAGTATTGCGAATTGTGTTATTCGATATGTTGGATCGTATCGTTGGAAGGAGATTCTTAAATTCCCGTGGATTTCGTGTAAGTGTCTCTGCTTACGGGTCCGCACCTCCGTTTTTGGCCCTTCATACAGCGATATTGTGAATTCAAATCGGTAGCTCAAATTGATCTTGCTATTAAGTGGAGCTGCATACAAGACAAGATCTTTGAAGGGATGGTGGCTACCTTACATACATACATACATACTCCACTGTCGTATATCAAATGATAGTGAGTGACTCAATTGACAGTGACGATGAGCTTCGAATGAGAAAGGGGCTCTTCAAATTATGGTCATGTGAGAATTCGTTTTCACAGAATTGATTGAATGGTTGTATTGGTTCATCTTCAATCGAATTATATGAAAATTAACAGCACTGGTCTCAACTGTGCCGATAGTACCATGCTCGGTGCCATGGCATCGTGATGACTTTGTTTGTGAATAATGAAATGTTGGGCAACCCGGTATTTTTACAGCTCGATTATTTTCATTATTTCAAATTTTGTTTTAAATCAAATT